TTAAAAGTTCAGTCTTCTGGGCAGTGCCTGTGGCTCAGTGATTAGGGCGCTGGCCTTGTATACAGAGTGTGGCTGCTTCAAACCCGGCCCTCCCAAACTGCAACAACAACAATAAAAATAACTGGGCATTGTGGTGGGTGCCTATAGTCCCAGCTATTCGGGAGGCTGAGGCAAGAGAATCACTTAAGCCCAACAGCTGGAGGTTGCTGTGAGCTGTGATGGCATAGCACTCTAAAGGTTGACAGAGGGTGACAGAGCGAGACTAAAAAAAAAAAAAGTTCAGTCTTCTTACCCATCTAGGCTCCTCTGCCTCTCACTGCTTCACCAAGGATGATGGCAACCAGGCTTCTTATTTTTTTATTTTATTTTTTTTTTGAGACAAGAGCCTTACATGGTCACCCTGGGTAGAGTGTTGTGGTGTCATAGCTCACAGCAACCTCAAACTCCTGGGCTCAAGAGATCCTCCTGCCTCAGCTTCCTGAGTGGCCGGGATTATAGATGCCCACCACCAGGCCTGGCTAGTTTTTCTATTTCATTTTATTTCAGACAGAGTCTCACTTTGTTGCCCTTGGTAGAGTGCTCTGGCGTCATAGCTCACAGCAACCTCAAACTCTTAGGCTCAAGGGATTCTCTTGCCTCAGCCTCCCACGTAGCTGGGATTAAAGGCACCTGCCACAACACCCAGCTGGTTTTAGAGACTGGGTCTTGCTCTGGCTCAGGCTGGTCTTGAACTCTTGAACTCAAGCAGTCCACCTGCCTCAGCCTCCCAGAGTGCTGGGATTACAGGCATGAACCACCATGTTGCCGGTCAGCCTCTTTGTTTTAACTACGTCCAGAATCCAGATTCACATCTAGAAAAAACTGTGCTCCTTCAGTTCCCTTCCCCTAAAGCCAGCTCAGTATTTACTGCCAGGCCTCTTTTCCCACCTGGTATTGTTCTTTTCTTTCTTTCTTCTTCTTTTTTTATTTTCTACGAAGAGAAAGTTTAGAGCACAGTGAGAGTTGGAAGTGGGTGTCTCTCATGGAGGAGACAGAGTGAGAGAGACCCCACCCCCTTACTCGAATCATTTTCCCCAGAGGTCCTTTCATCATAGATGGAGCCTATTAGATCATGCTGGGAAATGGTTCTGAAACTGGTTGCTGGACCAAGTCGAGTGAAGCAGAGCCTGGAAAATAGGCTCGTATGATTACAGTTGTTTTTTATTTATTTTTAATTTTGTTAAAATTTCAGATTAACATGAGGGTACAATTACAATATTTGCATTTGTTAGGCAAGGTCCTTGTTGTAGTTGTGTCCTGCACCCAGGAGTTGTGCCATATATGTCCCTTACTCTGTGCCCATTAGATGGGAGCACACCAATCCCCTCCCTCCTCTCTTCTTCCCCCTCCCTCCAACTCGAATTCAATTGAGTTTTCTCTAGTGTGGATGTGTATTAGTTTGTCTACTGGCTTCATATTAGTATTGAGTACATTGGATACTTGCTTTTTTTTTTTT